CCCTACTAGATCTGCAGTTTCTTGGAGGTAGGAATTCTTCAGTGTCTTGCACATAATAGATGCTTGATATTCACTAAATGAAACATAGTAAAAAATTTTAGAGTTACTAGAACTGGAACAATCAAAATATACATACTACTTTGGGGGGCGGGGGAGGGACAGAGAGCTGCTTTATGTACCTTTTTATCCTGCATGTCCCATTGACATAGCAGAGTGGCTCACTAGTTCCTGAACATGTCTCATTAAGTACTGAGATGATTTTCCAAAATTTCCTTTCTCAATCCAGGAAAAGTTAAAAATTTTTAATTAAAGTTTTAATTAAAGCATTTTTCTTTAACAGGTGATTTGTGTATAGGTTTAATATTTCAAATCCACTTATGACCTAAGTGAAATTGTTTTAATTCAATTGTTTATGACAAGTTTTAAAAAGTTGCTTTGATATAAGGATGAATTATGCCAGGATGTGATCATTCTGCATCTGTTGTTGATAAGCAGTCAGAAGCCCAACTGGAGGGTCCTGCTGGGGGCTTACCAATAGGAACATGTGGAGAAGCAATAATGGTAAGGGGATATCCTATATAATAAAAGCCTAATATGCAGATCGACCAAACAGTGGAACCACTGGTCACTATGATACACACTGACCACCAGGGGGCAGACGCTCAATGCAGGAGCTGTCCCCAGGCCAGCCAAGGTGGGTGCCAATGGGAGGCTCCTCCCCCGCTCCCATCACCCCACAGATCAGCCCTGATTGCTGGCCAGGCCTAGGGATCCTACCTGTGCACAAATTTCGTGCACTGGGCCTCAAGTTTAGACTATAAATACTGAGAGTTTGTGAGGACTATGAGAGTTTTGGTTTGGGTGAGACAACTATTCGCTAACCCCATGGTCGGAAAACTGCGGCTTACAAGCCACATGTGGCTCTTTGACCCCTTGAGTGTGGCTCTTCCTAAGCCTTAGGAGTACCCTAATTAATAACAATGTACCTACTTATGTAGTTTAAGTTTTAAAAATGTGGCTCTCAAAAGAAATTTCAATCGTCGTACTGTTGCTATTTGGCTCTGCTGACTAATGAGTTTGCCGACCACTGTGCTAACCTAAGAACTCTCTGAAGACACTTGAGACATGTGCTCCTACTTGTCCACAGTGGTGTTAAGCCCATGCAGGGTTTTGCCCTGGCTGGGTAGCTCAGTTGGTTAGTGTGGTTGCTAACTGGTGGTCCATGGACCACTGGTGGTCTGTGAGGTCCCAAAGGTTGGCGACCACTGGGTTAGAGCGTTGTCCCAATACACCAAGGTTGTGGGTTTGATCCCCAGTCATGGCATATTCAATGAATGTATCTTAAGTGGAACAACAAAATTATTTTTCCTCTAAAAATCAACCCCTGCAGGGATCTCAGAAGTGATAATCCTCATAGCAGCTTAGCCCTCCTACTACCTAATGTCCTTGTGCCCTAGCAACATGCTCTAGCAACAGGGGACTTTTATGCTGGCAGCTGGAAATCAGTTCTTTGGTGGGTCGATAACCCTCCCAAGTGCCTCCTGGTAGTGTGATTAACCTGTCATTTGTTTGATGTACGTTATTTCTTTACTTTGCTTATTAAGAGATATTGTATGCTACTGGCTTTTGAAATCATAACACCCACAGCGAACCTTTGCTAAATAAGTAGCTGGCAAAAACAAAAGTCAATCTCTGAGCATAACTTTGTTTCCCAAAAACAAAAAGATTTTTTTGTGTGCCAAATATAACCTTTCCGTATAGCTCAGCAATTGTACAGATGGAAGTAAACCTCCTCTTAGTTCCCAACACGGGAAGGTCTTCAACGGTAAGGCTTCTTCGTGACAAGTGAAACCAGTGAGCAAAAAAAGCAGCTGAGCTTGAGGTAGGGAAGCTATCACTTTAATAGCCTGGAGACAGAATGCCCCTGGGGACCTCAGGCCACATCATTAAATTTCTTTTTCCAAGTTCAGTGCTCAAAACGCAGTCCCTGCTTTTTGTAGTTGATTTTAACGTTGAGCCCTATTTCTCTACCCACAGACTGTGATAATCAGGTGCTCTGAACACAGAAACAGGAAGGTACTGAAGTTTGGCAAGGTGGCCCTCATAGCTCCAAGGAGCCAGTTTAGGCTCCATAAACCTCACTTCAGGCTATTTTGCATTGCTAGGTAAAGCATGAGGACCAGATTACCATGTCTCTAAATTCTACTCTTCATTAAGTAGCTGGCATACTAATCTCCAAATCTCTGGCACAGTAGTGAGTTCCTTACCATTAGCAAGTGGCCAATTCTTTAAACCCTAGTGCCAGGGAGTGCAATCACGCGCTTCCTGCAGTGTCACTACTAGATGCTAGTAGTTCACTCTATTGACAGATGGCACCTAAGTGCAGATTACTTATGATGCTGAATGTTTGTAGTTCTAAAATTGACCACTAGCATTTATCTGCCTAAGTTTTTATAGGTACCACGATTTTATGAAGGTTACTCAGATTTTGTAGCCCTAAAGCTTTGAAATGGCGTCCAATTCTAAATCTGCTTTTATTAGTGATGATGATATTGCTAAATATGTCAATTCTTGCTGTGAAGATGATTTTGTGGAAGATATTGGAGCAGGGTGTCCCTCTATTTTAACATTATATGTTTTGTTCAAATTTTTTTTTTCTACTAGTATTTTATAATACAATCAGCAAACAATATATGTCAAAGATGAAAACAAATGTAGTAAAGGTTTCCTTAAGTTTTTGAATATGTAACTTCATTTACTTGCGATTCATAATTTTTTTTCCTAAACTGCTGTAAAATCAGCAAAAATGCCTTGGCAATTTTAGCACAGTTCCTAGGATACTGGTTGGCACTCAAAGGGTGTAAGTATGAGGTGGTTACCTATCTCAGCTCAAAAGACAGCAGTTTCGCTTTCTATTCTGCTCACTCAAAGAACTATGCAAAACAGCTCAGAATACTTGATCACAATACTGGAACACTGATCGCAGGTGGGAGAGAGGAAAGGAAGAATGGTGAATGAGGTATTCGATGAGCTCTTTCCCCGTTCAGGGTTCAGCTGTGTTGGGGTTTCACGTGTCTCTAATCCCAGAGAGGAATCTAGTTCTGGAAGTTGAACCTGTGTTTAATAAGCACAGTGTGTTCAATAAAACATTTTTATTCTGTACAATATATATATATATATATGTGTGTGTGTGTGTATTTAAATATATATATGTATGTACATATATATATATACGCAAAGAAACCTCAACCAACAAATCCCTGAGTCCATGGGAACCCAGGACACTAACAAAGGGAAAGGAGGGAGTCCATGTCCTAAAGTGTAGGAAATATGGCAACAACTTTCCCTTCTCTCCAGGTTCCCAGCAACAGAGGGAAAGGGATGGTCACTGCAAATTACTAAAACAAGAGGACTTACGTAGGAGCGGGAGGCAGGGTGGGGTGGTGGAACGGGAGCTGTGGGTCAGTGTGGGCAAGTAAAACATACGGCTTGCTCCAGCATTAAAACCAACAGATCACTCCTGGCCGGATAGCTCAGTTGGTTAGAGCATTGTCCTGATATGCCAAGGTTTCTGGTTTGATGCCCAGTCAGGGCATATACAATAAATGCATATATGAGTGAAACAACAAATCAATGTTTCTCTCTTCCCTTCCTCTTTCTAAAACCAATTGAAAAAAAAACACACAAAAAACCAACAGATCACTGCAGAAGAGGGGACAAAACTGATTGACATGCAGCTGACCTTTGGTATACCAAGCCTTAGCTTGGCAGCCCCACGCCTGGGCCAGCTCAACAAATAGCACCTGTGGGGCCTATGAGAGGAGAAACGGGGGAAATGGCCCTTGAGTGAAGAAGGGAAGAGCCATAAAGCTGAGGAACAGGCTGCATGTCTCAGCACAGGATGGAACATTGCCATTCACTGTCCCTGTGCCATTTCTTCAGACCCTAGGCCACCAGTTGGCCAGGAGCCTGAGTAGATGCCTTCTGTCCACAGTCAGGTAGAGATGGGCAACTTACATGGTCTTCAGAAGAGGTATAGAAAAAGGAGTGTTTTCGAGGACCACTCCCAGTTGTGACAATTCCTGAAGTGCAGGGACCACACCGGTGAATCATGCCCAGTCCTGACAGTGGGGCCAAGGTGGCAGCGGTCAGCTCCCTCCGGAGACAGGTCATGGGGCTTCCAGGGTGGATGAGCCAACGAGATGGACACACAGCTGCTGAGCACTGCCCTGAATTCTCCTGTCTTCTCCCTCAGGGCTTTCCCTCCCTGGCCACACCAAGCTTGGCACCTTCCCAGCATGGTGGCAGGGAGCATCCCTCTCCCTAGCCTATTAACACACAGAGCCGCCAACAGGGGGCAGCATGGCCAGAGGCATCTTATATTGTAGGGACAGCAATAGAGCTGTGCCTGCTTGGAGTTCAGAAGCCCACGTTGGCCTGGGCTTCTCCCGCTGCAATGGCTTGCACATCTGTGACATGGCCGATGCCCTTGGTGACACCCTCCCGGAACAGCAGCTTGGCGCCCACCTTCAGGTACTCTGGGTGTTTCAGGAAGCGGAAACGTACCACTGCCTTCTCCCCTGTCCGCAGCTTGTCCTGCAGCAGATATGCGGTCACTGGCCCTGAATGTGCCTCGGGTCCTATTCTCTACGAGCCTGGGTTCTCCACCCTCAGGGGCCTATCAGGCTTCTTCCCACTCTGAATGGGTCTTTGCCCCTTTTGTGGGACCAGGGAGTTCTCTGTGAGTCTGGGGCCAGGCCTTTCTGGAAGGAGAATTCTGACTTTTCCCTGGAAAAATGTGCACAGCTGGGTCCCTCTCACCTTGGCATGGATCTTTTCCACCACTGCCGTCTGGCGGACGTTGCCCACGTGTACTGTCACCTGGAAGCCTCGCCGGAAGGTGGTGGCATGGAACAGTAGGACTATTTCTGCCTCGAACACTGAGCAGATGGTGGGGTTCATCTCGGGGCTCACCATCACCATGCCCTGGGGAGGACAGCCCCAGACCTCATGTTAGTCTCTCACCCTTACAGCTCCCTAAGTTTCCTCTTCCTCTAGGCCAGTGGTTCTCAACCTTCCTAATGCCGCAACCCTTTAACAGTTCCTCATGTTGTGGTGACCCCCAATCGCATTGTTACAAATTGAACATAATTAAAGCATAATGATTAATCACAAAAACAGTAATTATGTGTTTTCCAATGGTCTTAGGCGACCCCTGTGAAAGGGTTGTTCGACCCCCAAAGGGGTCGCGACCCACAGGTTGAGAACCGCTGCTCTAGGACTTCAAACACAAGACCTCAGAAGGCAATATCCAAAGCTCTCCTCTTAGGAGGAACCCTCCTTACCTACCTCCCAGGTCCTCTAACCCTTCTAATGATTTGTATTTCTAGGGTCCTGGACACTTGGGTTGGACCACAGTGATTCATAATTAGTGATCTGTGCTTTATGAGTATTCTAACCCTTTTCAAACACAGACAGTCTGTGTAAGCAGCTTCCTGGGGTAGAGATCATGTTCTCTTTGAGTTCCCCTTACACAGGTGCTTCCCTTGTGTCCCCTCTCCAACCCGCCCTCCCACCTCACCTTTCGAAGGAGTGCACGGTCAAAGTCCCCGAGGGCCAGTGTAGCAGCCTGACCAGCTCGCAGTACACGGCAGGCAGAGCGGTTGCGCTGGATGCTGCATACTCTCAGCTCCAGGAAGCAGCCATCGTCCGTGGGGCCCACCACCAGCTGGTCGCCCTCACGGCAAATCCCACTGCAGCCCAGAGGGCGGATGGCACAGTGTCAGCCAGGCTCCCTTACTTACTTCTCTGCTAGGGTCACCCAGAGCATTCTTTCCCCTCTATGGTGAGTCCCTCAGGAGAGGAAAAGAGACCCTAAATTCTGACTTAGGGAAAAAATTCTAACTTGGAGATAGAGGAGATGGCTGCTTGCCCCAGCTCAGAGTTCAGATTCTGCAGGGTAGAACCAGGAAAGGCAGTGACGACTGGCAGAGGTACCTGCTGGTGTGACACTGAACATCTGAACCTGAAAGAGCAAGGCAGCCCCTTGGGTTTCATCCTCTGCTTTGGAAAGAGTCTTAAGGGCCCTCTCATTTCCCTACTTGAAAATGAGGTCAGCTGAATACACTCTAGTTTTCCTCCTGGAGCCCAAGACCCACACTTCTCCCTCAGGGGCCTGGAGATGCCCTGTAAAGCAGCAATACTGTTTCTTCCCTCACAAGCCACTGGACTAGCTTTCTCCAGCTCTTCTGATGGGGAAAGCCTAATCTGAAGATAGCACATCTTTTAGCTAAGCTCTGTTCACGTCCAGGGTCTCCTTTGGACCACGATGTCTTCTAGTGTCTGGGTATGTGAGGGCTGAGTGGGGTGGGCAGCAAGCAAGGAAATTCACCTGGAAAGCGTCCCTCCAACAACTGTCCCCACCTCTGGTACTGTGTAGATTTCATCCACCTGAAGCCAAAGAAAATTCTATCAATGGCCTGTGCAGGTGCAAAATCTCTAAGTCTCTTAAGCAGGCTCGGGGCTTAGCCAGAATTAGTCCTTCCTGGTTCCCCTGCTCACTGCCTGTGGGGTGGACAATTTACCTGAAACTCTGTCAGCTGCTGCATGAGTTCCTCCTGCTCTTTGCTGTTGGTGAGCGGTGGCAGGATATTCAGGAAGACTTTGAGCAGGTCCAAGCTCTCTCCAGACACGCTGGACAGGGTGAAGATAGGGGTGACGCTGTAGAGGGAGGCATGAGACAGATGAGGAACGTTCTAACAGGAGGCAGAGGCTAGAGCCCATTCATGGAAAGGTGAGCTTTTATCAGGGTGGCTAGGCCCCTCCTGATAACCTTCCCAGGAGCTTCAGGCCCTCTCTCTGTGAACCAGCCAAGGACCTACCCAGAGCCCAGGGGGGTTGGTGAATGCCTGTCACAGCACTTTGTCTCCAGGGTCCCAGGCATCAGCAAAGCTCCAGGCTGGCTTGGGGAAAGGGCCGGCCCTTTAGCAGAGACACCCTCCCACAATCCCAACCTGCAAACCACAGAACTGAGCCAGACTGGTTTGGTCCTGAGGTGGGACACGCTGTTCCCAGGCCTGTGGCAGCCTCCCCGTGGATCGGCTCTGGAGTGAGGAAGGCTTACTTGGGTGACTGGGCAAACTGCTGGGCAGCGGTGACGGCATCATCCTCAGAGATGACCAGCATGGGGACTTTGTGGCAGCCGGGCTGCTTCAGGACCCGCTCTAGCTGGCGTACCGTCCTCTCCACTGTGGTCTTGGCGCACAGGTCCACCTTGCTGACCACGATGAAGAAGGGCACTTTCAGGGCCAGGGCCAGTCCCAGATGTTCCCTTGTTGTGCCGGCTGCCTCAGAGAAGGAAGGCAGGAGTCAGGAGAGAGGAGTGAGGATGTGGGAGGGGGGAGAGGGAACAAGAGAAAAGTTCATCTGGCTCCCAGGTTGGAGGAGACCCAGGGTAGGAGAAAGTCAGCACCCCCTTCCAGCCACATCCCTGCCCCAATGCCTCGTACCAATCCCAGTGTTAGCACTAACGAGGAGCAGGGCACAGTCAGGGCAGTAAGAGGTGAGGCCAAAGATGGTGGTGTGTAGGTACTTGTGGTGGCCGGCCAGGTCGATGAAGGTGATCATCTTGGAGCTGCTCTCACAGATCTCTTCTGCCGTCCGTGAGTCACTGTAATTCACCACCTGGCCCAGAGCCCAGGGCGCTCAGTGCCCCTGCCAGCCTCCCCAACCCTTTCAGAGTTGCCAGGACCTAAACCAGTCCCTGGGTGACCCTGCCTCTTAACCCTGAGCCCCATTTCTGATTTAATTCAGTTGATTCCCCACGGGTTTTCTAAGGAGGACAGAGCTTGTGCACTGCCCTCAGGGCTTCATCTACTCTACTCCAAAAAGTCTCCACACACTCCCTCAGACTCTGTCCCTCACCACTACCCTCCCGTCCTCACAGTCTGGCCCCACTGGGTCCCGTTGATTGCATGCACCTCTCCCTTGCTGTTAAAGCCCAGGATCTCGAAGCTGATGCTGGAGGTCCGGCCAGACTGAATCTCATGCAGGTGGCGGAACAGGTTGAGCCGAGCCCGGCCCCGGCCATTGTCCAGCTCTCCTTGGGTCAGGACGCCAAGCAGAGTTGACTTCCCCGAGTCCACATTCCCCAGGACAGCCACACGAAGGTCCAGAAACTGTGGATGAATTGTCAGAGGTAAGGGCTCCAATGCCTTCTCTCTCTCTACTGAAGGTTGGGTCAAGGGCAGTGCTGCTCCCTGGGAACCAAATGATGAACTGAATACCCGCAGGGTCACAGGCCAGGAGACGGCCTGCCACCACGGGGTCCTCAGGGAGCATGGGTGTGAAAGGCAGGGAAAGTGTGCTCACCTGCTGGTTGTCAGGGACCTTTCGGACCAGCACCTCAGTGATCTTTCGGGGCATGTCGCTATCATAATCCACTTCGCGCTCCCGGAGAACAGTGATGTCTGCCCCAACCCTATCACAGCAAGGCCGAAGCTGCCACATCTCGCTTGTACTCCCCCATCCCCAGCCTTCCATCCTGGCTCTGGACCAATGGCCTTCCCACACATCCCCAAGAGCTCCCAACGCGTTCCTTTCTCTCCTACCACCCTCCAATCTATCCCATATCCCATATCCGCATGTTAAAGATCCCTTTAAACAAACAAACAAACAAACAAACAAACAAGTCTTAAATCAAAAAGGAAAAGCCTAGGTTCCAATGTGGAGGAGCTCAGAACTAGCCCTCCCCACTTCAGCCCTTTGTCAAGAGAAGGCAGCAAAAGGAAAGTATCTTCTTGGCCCTAAGGCCCCAGGTGACTGGATGCACTTGGGTTCTCCCCAGAGCTAGGGAGGAGAACGGAGGGGGAGGGAAGCATACTTCTCTGCCATCCGATGCAGGGTCTTGAGGGAGGCCCGCATCTCCTCCTCAGCCAGCCCCACCAGCAGCCCATTGTCCTCCACCCCGATCTGGTAGACTGCCTCACCGCGGCCCTCCTGGAGCCGCCACTTCATCTGTGTCACCAGGTGCTCAAAGCGGTACTGGGATGGATTCACCAGCTTCAGCTTAGGGCAGGTGAGGGGTCAGGAGAAGGTGAAATCAGAGATGCTCCTCCTAAACCCACATGCTTACCACCTGTCCTGCTGTAAGGACCAGGACCTTCCCTTCCCACTTAAACCCCCTCATGCCTGGCCCCCCCTCTAACAGTGAGTCCCCCCAGTAAAATGAGGTACAGAGCCCTTACCCTGAACCACATCCCTAAATTACTATAGATCATGAAGTTGGAAGGATCTCAGAGAAATCGCCATCCCATGCCAGCAAGGACAACCTGCACCTCCCCAGCCTAAGACTCACTTTATATTCGATGTTTCCATCTTCAGCCTGAAAAGAAACAGAAAGCGGTTACCAAATACGGTCCAGACCCAACCGCTACTTCCCCAATTCCTGATGGCGCCCAGGCAACAGCTAACTGGAGAGAGCAGGAAGCCCCAGTGGCACTTGCTTAGGCAGGTGCCTGCCAAAGGTCATTGGCAGACAGCCCTCTACCCAGCCCCAGTGTGACTTCTCCCAAGGAAAGGCCTCTAAGAACAATCACCCGTCTAAGCCAGGATCAGAACCCTGAGTCCCTCCTTGCTTTGGTCACTGGCAGCATGTTCTTCCTAGAGCAGCGGTTCTAGGAACCTGTGGGTCGAGGCCCCTTTGGCCGTCAAATGACCCTCTCACAGGGGTCGCCTAAGACCATCCTGCATATCAGATATTTACATGACGATTCATAACAGTACCAACATTACAGTTATGAAGTAGCAACGAAAATAATGTTATGGTTGGGTCACAACATGAGGAACTGTGTTTAAAGGGCCAGAAGCTTGAGAACCACTGTCCTAGAGCAAGATCACTCCTTCCTTCTCTTCAGGCCCTCAGACTGCCGTCCCCAGAAATCTATGTCTCCGCTGTGTCTGGGCTGTTGAGGCCATTCTCTGCCACTGGTCTGGGAGACACCATTTCCTTCCTCCCCACCCTTCTCAGCTGATGTCATCAAGAGTAAGAGAATGCAAGAGGTTCTGGACCAGGGCCAATGACTTAACTCAGCACTGGTCATTACAAGCTCAATGAGAGAGGACCTGAAATAAGAGAGGGATAGGGCTCCAAAGTTGGGGCTGAAGAGAAGAAACTCAGAAAATATAATTAAGGGGACAGACTCAATGGTGGCTTTTATCTCCTACCCCCTAACCCAGGGGTGGGGAACCTTTTTTCTGCCAAGGGCCATTTGAATATTTATAGCATCATTCGAGGGCCATACAAAATTATCAACTTAAAAATTAGCCCTGCTGTATTTGGTCAAACAATTAACTCACCCCTAATGCCTTGGCAGGACCAGACCAAATGATTTCTCTGGCCTCATACGGCCCGTGAGCTGGGCGTTCCCCACACCTGCCCTAACTCTTATGTCTAAGCCGAGGTGGAATCCTGAGTCCACTCCAGTCTCCTCTACCTCAGCCCTCTATTAAGTGACCCAATAGAAGTATCCTATTGCCTGAGCCTTCCCCTCTCAGGTGCAAAAGGATATGAGATTTGCTGGTTCTGCCTGTCTTGCATTTCTGCACTCCTCCTCATTGGCGATTTCTCTTTCTCCCTTTCTGTCATCATTCCATCTCTTCAAGGCCCTCTGACTCCAGGCTCTAATAGGCCTTCACCTATCATCTCTATTTCATGGAGTATAAGGAAGATCTTGACTCATCAACAAAGACCTTCCTTTTTACCATTTTGATGGAGATGAAAAGTTAGAATGAATGGCTTCAGAAAAGTGGTACAAGGATGATCTAAAGTGTGGCCCCAGGACCAGCTGCATTAGAACCACCCAGGAACTTGTAAATGCAGATTATCAGGCCCACCTGACCTACTGAGTCAGGAACTCTAGGGGCGGGGCAGCAATCAGATGATTCTGAATACTGTGCTAAAGTTTGATAACCACTGGTTTAGGCTCTTCTTCTGGGTCCTTCTTTGCTAAGATGGGCAAAGTAGCATTATTCTCTGCCTTAAGGTGTAGATGAAGCAGGTATGTGGAGGCTGCCCTCACATCCTCCTAGGACAGGCAAAGGGCAGGATTACCTGACTGACTGTTCTGGGGTGTGTGTGTGTGAGTGTATGTGTGTGTACTCAGGGATAAGGACAGAACATACTGCTCTTTTCCCCGGTACTGCCCTCCTCCCCATGGAACAAGTGTAGAAAACTCTGCCTCTCCATCCCAGGACTAGTCTCCCTGCTCGTAGTGCAGCACAGGCATGAACCTGGGCATCCATTCTGATCACCCCAAGGGGATGGGAGTGGGATCTCCCTCCCCCACTTCTCCTCCTGCATTACCTAGATCAGAATAGGGGGATCCTCCTCCCCACTCTTCCTCTCCGGGGTCCTGATCCCGGAGGAGAGGGCCAGTCTCTCTATCCCTCCTTCCAGGGGTCCTGGGACCGGAAGGAGGGGTTCTACCCTCCCCAGGGGTCCTGACACCGGAAGGGGGTGTCAAGTCTCTCCGTCCCGCCTTCCCGGAGTCCCGGGACCGGAAGAAGTGGTTTCTTCTCAACCCCCCACTTCTCAGGTGCTCACCTCGGGGGGCAGATACGGGGGGTTGTTGGCTTTGCTCGCTCTGTTCTTTCCGTTCTTCTTCTTCCCCTTCGGGCCCCCGCAGCCGCTGCTGCCCCCGGCGCCCCTAGCCTTGAGGGTTCCACCCCTGCCCGGGCCCCCTCCGGGCCG